TGCCGAAAAGGTGCAAGCACTCTCCATAAATTCACGAATGTATTAGGAATCAATGTCCTTTGACGCTGTTTACGAATAAATTGTACGGTCCTGGGATACTTGAAGAGTGCTTTAAAAATAAGCGCAGTTTTGTAAAATAAAATACATTGATTAGACCACTACATGCTGCTCGCAGCATATGCATCACCAACTTCCTTTGGCACTGTAACTGCAGGTTTGAATAAAGCCTACAGGGCAACAGAAAGAAGTACGACCAGGAATGAAATATGCACACCGGCAACGTTCACTCGCGACTGAAAGGCTATCGCACGTGTTCATTTCATTTCATTTCATTTATTGCATCCTTAAAGGCCCGAGGGCATTACATAAGGGGGGGCAAAAAATACGCTGTGAATGTGTATAATTCAAGTTGAACAAATTATTATAAACAGTACAGTTCTAATATGGTAGTTTGGTCAAAAATGACAACAAAAATGAATCAAAGAACACACAAAAGAAACGCTTTGGCTGGGAATTAGAGTACAAATAACTAGGCACAAGCGAATTATACATACAGTACATTGGTAGAATATATTTACAGCCACGAGTTAATGGGTGGAATCAAAGTGGGATTCCAATTTTGCGCGGAATGATGTGCGGTCAGGTGTGGCAACAATAGTATCGGGAAGGTGATTCCAAAGTGTTATTGCTTGGGGGAAAAAGGAGTCGTTCATTGCGGATGTACGGCCGTTGATTCGTGCAATGGGGTTTGAATGGTTAACGCGGGAAGAAGTTCTGTTTGGGGGCTGTAAAAGTTCGTGTCTTGATTGGGGTCGGAAAAAGAAACTGTGGAGGAGGCATAGGCGCAAGATGAGGCGGCGCGACGCGAGTGATGGCAGTTCAATTGATTGTTTTAGGGCGGTGACGCTGATTTCTCTGGAGTACTGTGAGGTTATAAAGCTTGCAGCGCGGTTTTGAACTGCTTCTAGTTCGCTAACGAGGTATGCCTGGGATGGATTCCAAATGGACGATGCGTATTCGAGCTTTGGCCGTACGTATGTTAAGTATGCTAGTTTTTTAACGTCAGGAGATGCTGATTTGAGGTTACGGCGCAGAAAACCAAGCGTACGCAGAGCGTCTGAGCAGATGGACTGTACGTGCGGTGCAAATGAAAGAGATGGGTACATGTGCACTCCGAGATACTTGTATGACGAAGCCGAATCGAGAGGAAGCGAATTGATAAAGTATGTATGATGAACAGTGGTGCGTTTACGGGAAAATGACATCGATTTGCATTTGGTATTAGTTTAACGATTAACAAACATAAGAAAATAACATAAGAGGAAAAAAAAGACTAACAACCAAGGTGCATGTTTGTAGTTGATTAATAAAATAAAGTTTACTGTGTTGTAGCGATATCAAAGGCTAATGGACTTAAACAAGGTGTGGTGGTCTTATGATATATCACTGAGATTTCTCGCGTGGTTTCGTGAGGGTGGCTGTGCAAGATTACCAGGCCTTCAAAGATGAAATTGCATTTTCATGACTGAAAATGCAAGCTTAGGTGAGATGGCTTCATTCAATGAATTTTGATGTTCTCTGAGATGCGTGTTGATACATCAGCCAGTCTGACCGATGTATATATGTGAACAGAAGAGGAATTCGGTTAGCAACTCTTGCACAATAATTGAAAGAACAGTTGGCCTGCACCTCACAGTACTTTTCTCTGCCCACTGCAGACCCCTGCCACCTTTCGCGCTCTACAACAGAAACATTACTAAGCATATGGTGCAGAAAACACAAACCCTCACCTTGTACCGCTTCCCATCTTTCAGACTGTGCAGAACGTATGCATAGAATAACTAATATTCCTAGTTTCTTCGTGGGTGAAATTTGTCCGAATCAATCTTTGTTTGCAGTGTGAACGAGCTGTTCACAAACCAATGCAATATGATGTAGGCAGGACATCGCGCCTTATTGCAGCTGGAAACTATTGCTCATAGAATGTGCCCAAGTTTTGTTTGTTTTTTTCTTCGCAGCGCGTAGGTACATTATTATTCCTTGTTTAACAATATTTGAATGCACCGATGCCAAATTCAATAGTTGTATCACTCAATGCGGAATATACTGCCAGAAAACATGCTCCGCAGAGACACTTAAGCATCTTATAAGATACTGCAAATTATCAGAGCAAGGTATCTCGCATGTGAATTCTAGGTCCACCCCTTCGTCTTTAAACAGGTTTAGAGTGTGTTTACTTTTCTTTTTTTAGGCGCAGGACTTGTCCATAAAAATTAAAAAAATTCTATAGCTGTAACACTTCTCTGCAGTCTTGTGTTAACGGCACAATCAAACCGCAATGATATTAAAAGCCATAGCACTGTATGTGCAGATCATCCTAGAATAACTATGAATTCAGTGTTCCAGCTCACATTCCTCACGATAGCATATTTTGACCACATGTATTGGTGCGCAACAACTCTCATGTGACTCATCTTCTACGTTCAATGTACACCTGCACAGTGATACCTAGACTGACTGCGTTATTCATTTCACATTTCATGCGTAGATATACACGCAGGTCCACGTTCTGACCCTATTCAACTAGTGGTAGCATGTTCTTTTTGTTTTGTGCTCGCACGGCACCAACGAGCAGCAGGCAGAGGAAGGGCCAGTTCTCTCGGCGTACCAACTTTTCCCATAGTGTTCGGCACGCCCACAGGGGGTTGTGGGATTGCTTGAAAAAGGTCTATTGAGCTAAGAACCACAAGAAAATCAAAACATGCACGTGTAGCAGGGGTATGACTATAACAGTCACCATGCATACACAATACATTTAAAATATGAACATATCTATATACAATTACGTCGACACAGGCCTTGAACATTTGGCCAAATGCACAAATGTTATGAGGAGATAGTTGTAGTTGAGCTAAGAACCACAAGAAAATCAAAACAAGCAAATTACCAGAAAACAGCTACTACAGTTGTACACAGTCATTTACATAAATATCAGATGTACTGATAATGCATTCGCAACACAATATGAATAATATGCTTTGACAGAACACAATATATAAGGCCCTTTATAAAAAATTAGAAATGCTTCCTGCAAAAACTTCTGTGAAAGTAAGTACCTCGACAGAAGTGAACAGTGTTCTAAGCTGAGGAGAGCACAAGGTTCAGTAAAAGGACAAAAGAAGTTTCACTTGAAGCAATCTTTTCGATAGATAACTATGTTTCCTTAAAACTGGTGACATTCACAACAAAGCTTCTTGCTCAAAGGCATCACCTGTTCTTTTCTAATTGGTGTAACGTTCAAAACGATGCCACTAACTTGTAGGCCATCGCCTTAAAAACATATAAACTCTGTGAAACATAGCTGTAATGAATAAAAGTTGGTCCGAGTACTTGCAGCCACTAAAAAAAAAAAAAAATAAACGATGTTTTAAGAAAATAAATAACCTAGCAAAAGATATAGGTGAATAATTATCTTTTTGATAAAAAAAGAAAAAGAAGTAGAAGAAGAAAGGTCAGATGTAGAAGAGAGAAAGCAGGCCAAGAGTTTGTCACAAAGGCGAATAGAGAACACATGCACATCCTGTTCAAAGAAATGTTGTTACTTCACATAACAGCAACATAAAAAAAGCAACATCATGGCCACCCATACCTGGCAGCCTTAAGCAAATTTTACAATCGAAAGGTAAAAGGCTGATTTGGGTGCAACAAATCAAAGCACCACAATTTAAACGTACAGCACCTAAAAAGGCAACTGCTGAAAAAACTGTGACAAAAATTAAGCAATGCATTTTACTGGTAAAGCACAAAGCGAACAACCTGGGCAATGCACACAATATTAGGGATGGGCGAATATTCGGTGTTGCGAATATTCGATCGAATTCTGCCCTATTCGTTATTCGCTTCGATACGAATTCAAGTATTCGGTATTTTCGAATTATTCGGCGCTTTTGAATAGGCCGCAAAAACCACGGACGATTGGTACAAATACAAATCTCTGAGGCTATGCTTTACACGTCATGGCCATACATTTGTTAATCTCCAAGGCTATGCATTGGGGAGCCGGAAATGCGTCATTATTCTCTGAGGCTATGCTTTACACGTCATGGCCATACATTTGTTAATCTCCAAGGCCATGCATTGAGGAGCCGGAAATGCGTCATCACTACCATGTTCACGGCAACCGTCACCCATAAGCTCATTGCGTAAAGCGCGAAACATACGTGCGATTTTCTCTGCGATTCGGCGTGCGGCGCAACGATGCGACTGCCGGAGTGGTGACGTTTCGTGACGTATCCTCGCGTCGCACCGCCGCATAGCCGGTGCGGCGAGCATCGAACCGGCCAGATATTTTCGTCGCAGCATCGCACCGCCGCATGGCAGCAGCCAATCACAGCGCGAGCATACGAGTGGCGTCACGATGCTAGTGGCGCCATCTCCCTGTCGCCGCTCCCATCACCCGTGCTCCCATCTTTCCCATCTCGTCTATCCCCTCAGTTTGTCCTCGCTCGCTCTGGCTTACGACCTCACGTCTCTTCCTCTCTTCTCCTTCCGCTTTCCTACATCTTTACTCCTATCCTTTTTATCCCTCTTCACCCCCATCCCTCGTGAGCTACTGCGGCGATGTCGCTCACTGAAGCAGACAATAACGGGGCTCACTTTTCTCTTCCTTTCTCTTTATAAGAATCACTTCTCCCATCACCCGTGTTCCAAGGCTCCAGGCAAGTCGATGGAGCGGTGCGAGCGTGGATTGCTGACATCGCCGACTGCGGCGGCGTGACAAACATCGAGTACGTTTGTTTCCCTAGTGACGTGATGTTATTCCGCATTGAATAAAGTGATGCTTGAAGTGTGCCTTTTCTGCACGACAACGCCCGTTTTGAAACCGCTAGGGAGATCGGAGATCGTGAGCAGCGATGCAAGGTCATTTCGCTGGTAAACACAGCTCCCGGCGTCTCTGCGCTGGCTCGCTTCGCTTCCACCTTTGCTCTTCACATCGATGGCATAGATAAAGTAATAATGTATGCTAACGCATTACATACGAGCGCAATGTTTGATAGTGCTGTCAAAAACAAGCGCTCGACGATGAGCTCGCGTGTGAACGGCGTAGGCGACGGCCGGCGCCCGCGATGCTAGGCCTACCTGTCGGAGTCGTGGAGTCGTGAATAATCAGCTGTTGCCGTGATTAGGACGTGCTTGTCGTTCACGAATGCGATTTATTAATTATTTTGGGGGGGAACAACACGTGGCTGTGTAATGTTGTTTGTTTTGAGCCTCATTACGAGGATACCAAGTCGTTCGACCCTGCATGCCGAGGCGCCGCAGGGGAGTGGAGCCTGCCGCTGATAGCTTCTTCGCCCCCGTGTGTCCCAAAACGTCGCACGCCGCATCGCACGGAAAATCGCACGCATGTCTCGCGCTTAAGCTGCCCCGCATTGCTGTAGACATAATGTTTTTGCTTTCTTTTTACCTTTGTGTTCCTCGAGCTTCAGCCGCGCTTACACGTGTTGGCTTATCTCGCCCTCGGTAACCGCTGCCTCCACAGTTGAAGATGGTGTCGACCGCGCCCGTGTCCTGTAAGCGCGCGTACACGAATCCGATATGGGGCTTTTTCCTGAAAGTGCCTGCTGGAAGCGATGCGCAGTGCGAGACGTGCGGAGTTGTTTTGAAGACGCCTACTGGTACCACGACGACGCTTGTCACCCACTTGAAGAGACACCCAGGCAAGTACAAAGAGTACTCGGAATTGCATCAGCTTTACAGTTTTCCGAAAATGAAAAGTGAACCAAAGGGGCTGTCATCGCAGCTGACCGTTACCAGCTTGTTTAAGCCTACACTTCAGCCGTCATCGGTAAAAGCGCAAGAGATGACTAAGAAGATTGCAGCGTTCATTGCCTGCAGCCATACAGCGTGGTCGAGGAACTGAGCTTCATCGAGATGATGGGATGTGCAGTTCCAGAGTACGTCGTTCCGTCGCGAATGACCTTTTCACGAACGGTCATTCCGGATTTGTACGCGGCCAAAAAAAAAATGAACTGAAGAAGTACATTAGGGCCGTATTTGACGACGATGGTGCTGAGTGCTTCGCATTAACAACGGATGGGTGGACATCGAGGGCGGGCGACAGCTACGTGTGTGCTACGGCCCACATGATGGATCGCGACTTTAGGCAGCACGCTTATGCCCTCGCCTGCAAACCAATGCCGCAGGAGCATACTGGAGAAAATATAGTTCAGTTTCTCCGAGACGTGATTGAAGAGTGGAGTCTGCCTGACAACATCCCGACTTTTGTCATTACCGACAACGGCAGGAACTTCGTATCAGCTGTTGCCAAATCCAACTGGTCAGGACTCTGCTTTGCACATACCCTGCAGCTGTGCATAAATGACGCCAAAAGAGAAGTGGCAAGTTTTTCCCAGCTTTGTGCGAAGTGTCGATCGATTGTAGGTCGCTACAAAAGAAGCGCACGTGCACGGCTTATGGACATACAAAAGGACATGCACATGGTCCAGCATGAAGTGATTCAAGACGTTCCCACACGCTGGAACAGCGAGTTTGCCATGATGGAGAGACTCGTCGAACTTCGTGCCCCAATTTCAGTTGAACTTTGCGATTCGGATGTGGACAACTTAAGCTCCAGAGAATGGAAATTAATGGCTGCGGCTGTAAAAGTGTTGCAGCCTCTGGACCAAACAACGACAGAGCTGTGCGCGGACCGCTATCCCACACTTTCCCAAGTGATATATACCTCTCGTGCATTGTGCGCAAGTGGTGGTACATAAGCATGCGTCTCAAGGCGAGGAAGCAGCATCGTTTGCAAGGAGCCTTCTGCGCAGTCTTGCCACAAGGTTCCCTGGCTTGAAAATGGCAAATGTGCCGGCAAATGCAATGCTAGTTGACCCTCGCTACAAAGACATTTGCTACACTGAAGACAGTCAAAAAAAGTGGGCAAAAGCCGCACTTGCAGCTGCAGCAAATGAGCTAATGCCAGCCCAAAACGAATGTTCCCACGCACCTGTCTGCCCAGCCATGGAGAAGCCCCCAGCTAACACTCTTTGGAGTGTTTTTTCTTCATTAACCTCTAATGTACTGCAAGACAACGCGCACGAAAGTGTCCCTTCTCAAGTGGCAGAATACTTGGGTGCCCCTGTGCTTCCCCGGTCAGAAAACCCTTTGGATTGGTGGAAGACCCATGGCAGCCGACTGTACCCAGCACTGGCCAAGGAGTGAGAGGCTGTTTTCAACAGCAGGGAATGTTGTCACAAGCCGGCGGGAACTGCTGCTCCCAGACCATGTGGAGCAGCTGGTATTTTTGCATGAAAACTTGCGAGTGCAGTAAAAAAAAGTGAGATTTGTGAATAAAATTCAACTATTAAGAATTTTCAATTTCACAAAATGCTGTGCCTACATGAGTTCTAATTCCATTAAAAAAATTGTGTAAATTAGTCGGGCCATGAAAAAATGCCAATTTTTCTTTATAATATGTGATGCACACAATTCGAACTATCCGATTCGAAATTATTCGACCAAATCATTATTCGCTTCGAACGTCAAATCCACTATTCGCCCATCCCTACACAATATGAAAACTGACATCCATCATAAAAGTTAGCTACAAGTTTGTTTGGCCCAATATGGTTTCTTGTAGACAGTTTTGCAAGCTTCTGTCTCATCAGCCAGTCCGATTTATAAAAAGCACCAGAAAAAATTTCCAGCCAATAAATAATGAACAAAAAAATAAAGAAGGGGAAAGGAAAGTGGCTAGACTACAATTGATAGTTTAGCCAATTAGTAGTCTAGCTTTCATGTCTTTTTCTTCGTTTCCTGTGTTCGCTATTTTATTGGCTGCAATTTTTCCTGATGCAATGCACCAACTAGCCCAACAATGAGTGTTACTACAAATAAGCCTTCTGCACAGGTCAGCCAGACCTGTGCAGCCATGACAAATTTAATAATAATAATAGTAAAAAAGAAATGAAAAGAAGAGAGAGATAAGAGGAGAAGATGAAGAAAAGACAGACGAGAATTTCTGAGCAGTCCTGCCAATACTGCTTATTAGTCCTCATGCTCATCATCGCTGTCCACATCCGAGGACAGGTTGATGTGGCTGAGGAGGTCACGCATGGCCTCCAGCAGCGACGTGACACTTCGGTGCAGGTCCCCCTCATCGCCATTGGCCCTGACTGCCCCCGCAGCACCTGCTGCACCGTGTTCAGCTGCCTCAGGCTCCACCAGTGCCATTGGATTCCGCACGTCAATGCCCGCCATCTCTTGTGGCTGAAACGAGAGCAATTTAACATTAACAAGTTGATATGATCTAATGCATAGAGCTCAATGTCTTCCATGACTTACTTAACTGATTCGACCCAAGGGGATGCTAACATTGCTTTGAAAGTGCCCCAGAACGCCTGTCTACATCCCAAAGCAAACATAGCCCTTTACTGAATCTTTAATAGACCAAATGGTCACACAAAGTTCACCTAGATAGAAAGGGAAAAGAAAGTAACATTAATAATATTAATGCAGTGCCCATTCCTATTCCAATAGGTCAACAAATGGATAAACAATCAATACTTATAAAAATTACACTCTAAACTAGCCTTCCCACTTTTTTCTGAAGGCTAACAACTGAATATCAGAGATACGCATGTGAAACATACAACAGCATATGCACCAGCTGTATTAAAGATCAATCAAAAAACAGATAGCAGACCTCTACACCAGAAAAGTTTAAAACAGCTGAATGACACTATTAAACTGCATGCACAAACTAACCAAAGTGCCCACAATAAAATGCCAATTAAAGAGCACAAATAACGAGGACACAAGCGACAAAAAAATTGCAAGTGTTCATGTCAGGTAAAAACCTGAAAGACAAAGGATGCAAACTTTTTTTTTCTCCAGAAAATGATAAGTGACAACTTCAGAAGACACTATATTTATATAAGGCCTCATGAAAGCTTGATGAAAAGAGGCAGAAGGAACTAATAAGTGAGCAAATTAGCACGGCTTGTAATAAGTCACGCAAAGCTGGGTCACAAAACAGTTGGGCGCCTAGTTGGTCCTAGCTTGGCTAGGCTTTTACCCTCTCACCTCTCTCTTTCCCTACCTTTGCTATACGTTGCTATGCTTTCTCTTTCTCTCCCTTTTTTCCCCTATCTTTGTCTTGTGTGAGTATGTTTTTCTACCATTTTTTCTCTCTCCCTCTTTATTTTTTTATCTTTCTTTCTTTCCATCTGTAGTCGTTCTTCCATCTCTTTCTTACCTTTCTATTCTCTCCTTCCCCCTCACTTCCCTTTCCTACCCCTTAGGATCTAATAAGCTCTGCTAGCGTGGCTGGACAGCCAAGTGGTTGCAATTCTCGCCTTCAAATCATGAGAATGACAATTTGAATCTCGCCTCATCAAAAAATTATTTTTTTCCAGGAATTTCTCTCTTTTTATCGTCGCACGTGTTTTCTGAGCAAAGTAGAAGAGCAGGACAAAAAGAGCATGTGCCGTTTCACTACGATGTTAATTTTCTTACAACACATGGCAAATCTCGAGCATAAGAGCTCTGCTCTAAAATAAAGTGTACTTAGAGAAGTTACAATGAAATGTAGCTTAATTAACTAACTCAAGTTCATGCTTAGTTAAAGTCCAAAACTATGTGTGCTAAAATAATTTAAAGTGACACCCTCAGCATGAGATGTAGGCAGGTTTACACAAGACCACTGCCACCCTGAAAACACCAAGTTTAATTGAAACCATGGTGACAAAACTGCAGAAACTTGAGAAGCTGAAAGTGCGAAACGACACAACAATGTACAGTCGAAACCCGCAATAACGAAAATCGCCGGAAAAACCAAAAAATTTCGTTTTCGCAAGAATTTCGTTGCCGCGAGTATGAGACATAAAAACAGTGATACAGCCAGAAGAACGAAAATTTATTGCAAGAAGTCGGTCAACTTACTTTGCCGACTCTTGCCATGCAACAACTTCAAAGCTCTCCCTTCGCACTGGAAAAAGTGCTCTATTGTTACGTCGTCGTCATGTGCGCCGAAGAAGGAGCGAAGGGTGTCCAGTGCATCCAAAACAACCCGCGGGTTGTTTTGGATGCGCTAACGCGAAGTTTCTGCCCGCGGTCTCGCTGTCAGCGGAGTTAGGGCTAAAGCATACTGATGTTGCGCCGCGCTCGTAGACCGTGCGCCCGCTCGTAGTAATCTGATCGTGCATCCGGTGCGGCCACTTGTAGTAATCTGACCGTGCCGCAGCTTACAGCTTCGTTGCTTGCGACGAAGCACGTCGCCACGAGTGCGCTAGCGCGTCGTTCCTGCCCGCAGTCTCGCTGTCGGCGGAGTGAGGGCTAAAGATGACTTCGATGACGTGCCGCGCTCGTATTAACCTGATCGCGCATCCGCCTACTGCTCCTAACTAAAGTGTAATTATATCTTAAGTGATCATCGAGCCGTGAACATGTCACGAAATAGCAATTTTCGAGAGTCATGTCCTCGCGACGCACAAGCACTAGACGACGATCTCCCGGAGCAAGCATTGGGCCAATGGCGAGGCGAGCTGACGCAACATGGCGGCCACAGCCAATCAAGGACCTCGAAAGGACCTTCAAACCAACACCTCCTAGATTTCCCGTGCCTGCCGGATTATCGGCGGTCACTTGGGAAGCGGCGGTCGTCGGAACTACGGTGGTGGCGCCACTCAGTTAGGGATGTCTTCAAATAGGTTTTTACGTTTTTGGAGCTTATATGCAACAAAAATAACGTAAAAAAGTTTTAGAAAGGCTAAAAAGTAATTATAATTAACCTTACGTAAGTGACGCCGTCATTCAACAAGCAACCTATTTAATACAAGGCATCCTCTGAAATTAGTGGCAAACGCCGAAATTGCCGATCTCAAAGGCCAAGTACACAGACCCTTACCCCTACGTAGGCAGCGCCGCCATAGATGACCGCCGTTTCGCGCTCATTCGGCACGCACGGTAGATCTAGGAGACGTTGTTCAAACATTTGGTTCTTGTGCGCTTGTTTTTAAAGGGAGGAGCCAGCTGAAGCGAGAGGGTTAAACACTGAGAAATGCTCTTTTCGATTAGCCCAAGACGTCGGCTCCCAGCCCCACCATCGCGAAGCCACAATTTTTTGAAAATCGCTGTTTTCTCCCGATTTACAGGAAAAGTTTCGTACCTAGGTGGGTGAAATGAATTTTTCGAAGCACTTCTGCACGGTTTCCGCAATCCCGGAGCCGCGTCTCCCCTTAAGTAAACGAAAATGGCAGTACCCACGCTAGCACGGCAAAAGCAGACGTTTACAAATTTTGAGTGCGCATAACACGCATACGAGCATATTTTGACAGTTAACGTTTGGCGTGAGGGTGAAATAAGGCCCGCACTGTGGTAGAAAATTCGTTAATGCGGGATCGCTATCCAAAAACATTTTGTTGCCGCGAGATACATAATACATGGGCTTCTATGAACATTCGCCGGGGATCCGGAAATATTTCGCTGCCGCGGGAATTTCATACTCGCGGGGTTTCGTTATTGCGGGTTTCGACTGTTCTACAAAAAGTACTTTGAAAAGCCATCAGCTCACTGCTTTCTGAATAAAAATGGATCGTTGCTGATAACACCAATATGAGCAGCACTTTTGCTGCTTAGCAAAGCACAAAGTTTGGCATGCCATCATAGCTCTAGATCCAAATCAGCAGACACATTTGATTGTTTTGCAATATCTGCTGCAGTATACATTCATGAATATGCTTGTGAGAAAGACCACAAAGTTGATTGATTGATTTGTGGGGTTTAACGTCCCAAAGCCACGCTATGATTATGAGAGACGCCGCAGTGGAGGGCTCCGGAAATTTCGACCACCTGGGGTTCTTTAACGTGCACCCAAATCTGAGCACATGGGCCTACAACATTTCCGCCTCCATCGGAAATGCAGCCGCCGCAGCCGGGATTCGAACCCGCGACCTGCGGGTCAGCAGCCGAGTACCTTAGCCACTAGACCACCACGCCGGGGCAAAAAAAGACCACAAAGTCAAAAGCACAGGTAGAATTAATAACATGACACTATTTTTTGTCCAGCGACACTGCTTCAGCTTCAGCAGTCTCAGTTGGTAGAAGGCTATGTCCTTGAAGCATATGTGTCTTCAGCCACTTATACGACAAATAGTGATTATTTACAGCAATTGTTAATCACGGTACGGCGAAATATTGCCTGAAACAAACTCAAGCAAAAGCACAAAAAAAGCCTACTATTTTTTTACAAAAAACCATAGTTATTCGAGGTTAACTTCCTACTCAAGCTTTCCTAGTTCATTTAAGACCTACTGACTACAAGAGCTGACACTCACATCATCATTTGCACTCTGGAAAGGGTACACACCAGGTCCTGCAATCAACTAGAAATGGCAATTTACTTAAGTGGGTGATTCCACGAAAAATAGGCAGAGGTGGAAATTGTGATATTTTAGATGCGATTGCTTATTTTATATTTTGTGCACACAGTAGCCCGAAAGTGAACTTTTTTTTTATCAACTCCATATTTTCGGAGAAAAAAAATATTGAACTTATTTTGTACAGAGGGACTAATTTTGTCCCTTGTCATTGTCGGAAGGTAATGGTGATATAAAAACACAAATATTAGCTTGATGAAGACTATCTTTTTTTCTAATAAATGTGCAAGCAATGAAGAGTGAAGCAGCAGTGATGCATATGGGCTGAAGCAAACCATTTCTGAAAAATGTCTGAACAGGTGACATTTTTTAAAAAGTTGTTTGATTTGAGATTTTTTCCCTGCTAAGCTAAACCAGCTAGTGTTTCATAACTTGGTGACCTATTACAACATAATGTTTACAATATTGCCTTCAAATACCCTTGCAGTACCTCAAACACATAATTTTAAGAATGGCCTCAAACTTTCAATTTCGTCAACGGTAAAGTCTATTGAAAAATCAATATTTGAAAAACCCGATCTTCGATTTTTCTTAAAATCCCATAAAAGGTTCTTTGGAGAGGATGGAATAAGAATTATAAAAAACATATTGCATTATTTTATTTGCAGCGACAATATTACGGGTGGAAGTTCCAGCTTTTTGTGCATGCACTTAGACGATAAATGCATGCATAATAGGGCTAAAAAAACTGAGCCTGAGCTTTTGAATTGTTTGAATAGGACAGAGGAGAAACAGATTTAGCACATTAAGGAATAAATTTATGTAAAGGCACATTTCTGATGCACTTTGCTCAGCTTTAATGCCGGATGAGCAATACATAATTACACACTC